CGGCAGGCCACAAGTTCGGCCCTCTCCGCCACCGCCGCCGCCGCCTGGCACGCCGCCGCCAGGCCCACCATGAGCCACAGTGCCGCCGCCGGTGAGATGCTCGTCCGCTCTGCTTCCCGCAGCCGCGCACGCCTCGCCGCACGCTCTGCCACTGCTGCCAGCTGCTGCTTCTCTGTCATCATGTCGCCCGCCGAGGGTGGTGGGGTGGAGTGATCGTGATCGTGATCGTGATCGTGATCGTGATCGTGATCGTGATTGTGATTGTGATTGTGATCGTGACTGTGATCGTGATCGTGATCGTGATCGTGATCGTGATCGTGATCGTGATCGTGATCGTGATCGTGATCGTGATCGTGATCGTGACTGTGATCGTGATCGTGATTGTGATCGTGATCGCAATGGTGACGGGTGGCCGTGATCGCAATGGTGTTGGGTGGCCGTGACGGGTGGCCGTGATCGCAATGGTGACGGGTGGCCATGATCGCAATGGTGACGGGTGGCCGTGATCGCAATGGTGTTGGGTGGCCGTGACGGGTGGCCGTGATCGCAATGGTGACGGGTGGCCGTGATCAGGCGCCCGTCGCCCGCCCCACCCATCTCCCTCCTCTTCCCCTTTGCCATGGACAGAACACGGGCCATGGCGTATGCGGCGGCTGCAGGCGGGCTTGGCTCGCTCGGTGCGGTCTTTGGCAAGCTGACCTTTGAGGGGCCCATGGGCATGGTGGCCCAGGTGGCCGGCGGGCCTGCTGCCGAGCTCTGCCTCCGCGCGGTGACTCTTCTCGGTGTCTTTGCGCCCAATGCGGCCATGTGGCACTGCTACGTCTCGGCTCTCCAGGGCCTGCCCACTGTCCACGCCGCTATCATCAACACTGTCGCCAACATCGTCTGCTCCGCCATCTGGGGCGCACTCCTCTTTGCCGAGCCGCTCTCGCTGCGATGGGCTCTCGGCTCGCTGCTCATGGCCGCAGGCCTTGCCGCCATGACTGCCGCCGCTCCACACGAAGTGCCTGCTCCGGCCACACCCTCTTCGCCCGCTGGAGACAAGCCAAAGGCCGAGTGAGCCCATCGATCCTATCAATGCCACGGCCTCGCTCTCATCATCGTGCTACTCGAGCTTGGCTTCGCCAGCCCGCGGCCGCTTCCACAGCGCGACGAGCTCCGCAAGCGAGCGCGGCCGGCGTCTGTTGCCTGGGCTCGGGCTCGCGGCTCGAGGCTTGGCCGCGGTGATGGCTCGCCTGATGGCTGCGGCGTGCGGGTGCCGATGGCTCTCGAGCCTGTGTGCAACCGATGTGTACGCAGCTTGCCACCGCTGCCGAGCGCTCGCCCCGCCGTCAAGCCCGAGGCTGTCGACCACAATGATGCGGACGTGCTCGAGTGCGGCTTCGACAAGCCCGAGCCCGCACCCAAGGTACCCGAGCGTGACCAGTCGCGCGGCGGCCGAGACCGGGACCACGTCGCCAAAGCCGAGCGTGAGCAGCGAGACGCTTGCCCAGTAGCATCCAATGGCCAGTGCGTGTGGCGCCGAGTGCGGCGTCGCCGCTCCTTCAAACGCTCCGCCGCCCGACCCGCTCTGCATCAGTGCAAAGACGGCTCCACCAAAGACAACGTACCCACCTGCTGCCACGAGCACTCCCATGACCAGCTCCGTGTGCGAGATTGAAGCCACCCCGTACCGCTTGCCCGCCGCCCATGCTATCACCCGCGCCGCCACCACTGACATCGCTGCGTTCACCGCCGCCATCAGGCCCAGCGCAGGCACAACCGCCACAGCCACCAGCACCCGGCTGGCAGTGCTGCCTGGGACCACATCGCCGTATCCGACAGTCATGACCGAGATTCCTGCCGCGTAAAGTCCATCGCCTAACGGCACCCCATCCAGCAGCCACAGGCCGCCCGCAAAGACCGCCGCATAGCCCGCCAGGCCGACGAGGAGGCTACTCAGCGGCGGCTCGGCCCCAATCACGGCGCGATGGACAACTGCCAGCGCAAAAGAGAAGACGCCAGTTGCCAGCAGCGTTGCTGCCGCGAGAATCAACAGCCCTGCTCCGGTCGCCGGCACCAGATCTGGCTCACCGTAACCGACGGTCGTGAGGAGGACCACCGCAAAGTAAAGGCCATCGATGAGGCGCCAGCCCTCGACGAGCGCAAACGCGGCGCCTACCGCCGCTGTCAGCGCCAGCCCGCATCCCGCAGCCCGCATCGGGTGGTCAGCCAGCGCTGCCGCACTCATCGCCCGCGCCACAACATGGACCGCGTGCGCGTAGATCGGCATGGCGAGCGAGGCGAGGACCACCACCGCCACCTGCTGCACTGCACCGATCGGCACGTCCGCGCCCAGCCCAGCCGACGACAGCGTCGTCAGCCCGAATCGCACCACCGCTGCTAGGCCGATTGCACCACGCCGCGCCTCCTCGTCGCCCATCGCCGCCGCAGCCGTAAATGTCGAGATGGCGTAGGCCGGCGCGCCGGGCGGGGGAGCAAGGACAGCAAAGGCGGCGCAGACAGCGCCCAGCACAGCTAGCGCACCAACTAGTGCCCGCGCCACCTCGAGTCTCTCACCGTACATTGAGGAAAGAGTGCCCAAGACCCGTGTGCTCACGATGTACCGTATACAGCACGGTGTGCGCGCTGTAGTGCGTCGGCAAGGTGCGGGTCGGGCGGAGCGGGTTGGCGAGATGAGTGGCCTTCTCGCACCTGTCGGCCAGCCTGCCCTCATCACCACCGTTGACCCATCCCCATCCTTCACAGCCATCATCCCCATCCCCGACCCTCGTGGTCACCCCCAAGACCCCGACCACTCACCATCCCCATCATCCCCACCATCCCCACCATCCCCACCATCCCCACCATCCCCACCATCCCCATCCCCATCCCCATCCCCATCCCCATCCCCATCCCCACCCCCATCATCCCCCTCCACCATCCCAATCATC